TTTGCTTCTCAGAGGCATGTATCGCTGCAACTGTTGTTTCCATGGGAATATTTCTCTGAACAAAACACCAGGGCCCACCACCATTTACAGAGAAACAATGGAGCACAAAAGTCCAGATGATGTTTTCCTTTCTATTCCAGGAACATCGCATTGAAAGGAGACCTTGACAGCCTATCAGGGCTAAGCAAATAGTGGGACCCCACACTACCTGTCAATTAGGTGCTATCTGTTGTGTGCTTTCATTAGAACACTGCATTCTGTGGGGCTCCACTGTTCATTCACTCTAATGCTTCTAAGGGTCAAACGTGATACTAGATGGAGGGTTTACCTGCAATAGCACTTAGGTTTTAATATGTATGCATCCAGATGCGCATGGTCACAAATAGACGGGTTCATTTGTATGCTGTTTCGTCTTCATGCATAGCTAGCTACCAACCATTTCAATTTGTTGGAAACAGCACGCCTTGTTAGCCTAGCTAAAGTTTCCCCAGCTTTTCAATTATGACTCCTATTTTCTCTGAATGGCAACGTAGCTATTGTTTAAACTGAGAGCCACTATACGCTTGTGTGAGAGAGGGCAGGCTGTTGTCTTTTTCCGACGCAAATACATACAGTGTGCATTTGAAATAATGTCAGTTTGAGATCCACGACAGAAAATAACAATGAACTGAGTATAGTCGGCCCTCTGTATCCCTGAGTTCTGTGTGCAGATTCAACCAGCCACAGATAAAATTAATCGGAGGGGTAGTTCCAAAAAGCAAAACTTGAATTTGCTGTGGGATGAGCATTACGCTGAATCCACAGAATGAAGTGATGTGTAGACATACCCTGCTGTAGCCTCCCACCATTTCACAGATCCTCAGTCTCTCTGGAACAATTGTTTGAGCATTGTTCGCCTCACATCTTGTCATTATTCCCTAAACAATACACTACAGTATAACAACGATTTATATAGCATTTACATTGTATCAGGTATTATAAGTAATCTAGACATGATTTAAAGTATAGAGGAGGATGTGCATAAGTTATGTGCAAATACTATGCCATTTTATATAAGGGACTTGAGCTTCCAAGGATTCTGGTATCCACGGGGATCCTGGAACCAACTCCTTGAGGCTACTAAGGGACGACTATACTTAACATTTCTTCCACTTAAAATGAGCTATTTGTTTACCTTGGAGGTTGTGACTTCATTCGGAGCTACTGCTGATACAGAAATTACCTTTGAGTCTCACAAACTTGCATTTCATAAGCAGGAGACAGTCAGTCAACACTTTTGTAAGGAAACACTGATGAGAAAGACATAGTTAAGCTCTTACACAACTCTCACTTAGCATTTGAGAAAGGCTCACAAATGAGAACTCCTGAATGAGTTATTTGTTATCCTCGTTGCTGGCTGTTTTCTAAACATTTACCCAGTAGCTGGCACTTAACCATTTGCAGGAATTATTTCAGACAATGGCATTCACAGACAGGCCAATAAGCAGAAGTCACAGTCAAGTTCAGGGTATCATTTGTAACATTTGCAACAAATGACAGTGTCATCATCCTTTCAATGGAGATAATGCCATCTCACAAGCTCAGTTTGAAAAATCACTTTTAATTCTTTGTAAATTGGAGTAGGCAAACAAATGGATGGTAGTATTATCATTACTGTCATTATTATAAGAGAAAATTCAATCGGAATGCAGTTATTTCTTCTGAGTTATAGAAATATCTTTGCGAAAAAAAGAGAAACAGATATTATACGCAACAAGGGAAAACTCGAACTTCGTATTGATAACTCTGAGCGGCATGATTTGATCCTACTTGCATATCCTGAGTGGATACTGAATAATTTTTCTAGCTTGGATGGTTCCCCTCCAGGCATTCCCAGACAAGTGCCTTTCTGAGTAGTGAGCAGGTCTCTGGAGAGAAGCCACCGTAGAACGGTCTGAATGGTCAGATGTAAAGTTGTCAAGATTCGCCAGAGCTTATACATAACCATCCCAGGACCCTCAGCTTCATGTTCTCCTTCCATGTCAAATGTACTCCCCTCTTTTACCACCAAAAGGAAATAAAAACAACTGGCATCTTTTTCCTATGTAAAACAAACTCCCCTTTTCCTTAGCACAAGAAAATTTTATGTGCAAAGGCACTGAAAATCAACCATTAAGTAGGTGCTAGGTCCCCACCACAATCAAGGAGAAAGGGCAGGCAGGTCAAGTGTAAGGTGGGGCTGCCAACCTCCTTCTCCTAGGCCGTAAGGGAAAGAAACCTAACCAGTTACGTTATATTTCTCTGGAGGATATTTCTCAGATCTTTCACTGAGGTTTAAGTGGGGGGTCTTAGAGCAAAGAAGGAGCCCCGGAGCAGTGGTTAAGTACTTGGCTGCTAACTAGAAAGTCAGTGGTTCCAACCTATCAGCTGCTGCACCAGGAGAAAGATGTGGCAGTCTGTTTCCTTAAAGATTTACAGCCTTGGAAACCCTGCGGGGCAGTTCTACTTTATCCTATAGGGTGGTTACAAGTTGGAATCGACTTGACAGCAAGGGGTTTGGTTTTCAGAACATAATGATAGGAGATAAAAAAAACTTTGCCTTTTTTGGTTGAAAAGCAAACAAACTTTCTTTTTTAAAGGCTCGAGCTGTCGTTTCCATAAGCACAAGTCCTATTCAGTCCTCAATAGAAACAGCTCTTTCCCCAGAGAAAGATGGGTCTTGATAGAAGTACCTATAAACCTATAATCTAAATTCCTTATGCTAGCGTTTAAGGCATTCTGAGTCCTACTTATCTTTATTTACTCATTCTCGGCTCCAGCCAAATACACTCTTCTAAACACTCCCTACATTTTCTACGTTCCAGGCTTTGCTCAGAACTTTCTGTTCCCTTGGTTTGCCTCCCATCATTCCTCCAACTCTTGACTCCTTCCTTCAAGGATTAGCCATGATTCCTCCTTCTGCAGGAAGATGCCCTTACACACTAGGCTGAATTCCATCCTGCCTTGGTATCCCAGGAATGTACACAGCCAGCGTCCCTTCACAGGTATGGCTTTGATTTCGAGAGATGTGTGCACTGTCTAAATTCGTTGACTATGAGCTCCCAGAGGGCAGGGACCATGTCATAGCCTCTTGGCACTTGTTATCAAATCTAGAAAATTAGCAATTGAAATAGAAGAGCTTCGATGACAGAAACCCCACTTGGTGCTGCAGGTATTAGCTGTGTATCTTCCAGCAAGGTATTGAATATGTTTTGCGTTTCAACGTCATTAAAAATGGGTAAGAAAAAGAGTATCTGCATACATAGGGTGGTTTCAAGAATTAAATGAGATAATTCATTTAGTTTAAAATATTTAGAATAGTGCTTGGGATATAATAATCCCTCAATAATTACTGGCTATTATTAATATCCAGTAATTCCAGTGTTCTGATACTACCCCAAAATCACATAATTAGTAGTACAATGTTAGTAACAAATTACACTGGGGGTCTTTTACAAGCTCATCTTTGGGTTGATATAGCACTTTTCTTACAAATGGCTTCATGCATCTTTCAAAAGTTTATTTTCATAAGCTCTCTGCAAAATAATCGTAGTGGTAGGTATAGCCATTCAATTTTATGTGGAATTGAGCTGTAAGAAACTGACAATACCTGACCATTTTGACCTACAAAAATGGCAAGTTAATATGGTTCAACCTAATAAATGGCTCAAGTGAGTCTAGCCTTCTTAAATCCTTGCCAAGGTAGCTGAAGCTTGGGTTTGAAGCTTGGGTTTTGCACATTTTTCTTACAGCAATCTGATGCTTCCTAGTAAAACTCTTACTCTGAAAGGTCTCGTGTCCTAAAATCAAGGGCAACCAGGGTCCAACCCCTCGCCCATGGCTAATTCCACCAACTGTACTCTAGATAACACAAACCCTCTACCTTCAAATATTCACTTTGATGAAAGAATACCCTAAAATTCTTTCCCTTTAGGACGTAAACATACACGATATTCCTCCACGCCCTGCCAAAAACATAAACAACATCATCATCATTATAATCATCATCAACATAATATTTTCTCACTCAGCTCTTTGCTCCCAATCTAGGGTGTAACATATACACTCTCAATTTACATTCCATAATCTACTTTCTTGAGAAGAGTAGTATCTATACCATCTCTCCTTTATTTCATTGTTTCTCTCTCATTCATTCATTCATTCATTTCTAAATCTATTGCAGGCTAACATTAAACCACACCTCTCTTTGGAATCCACCCAGGCAAAGATCACTAATGACATCCCATGTTGCTTAATACTCAATTGTTCTTTGCTCCACAATTGATTTGATCTGACTGTAGAATCTAATGTTTATCACTCCTTCCTTCAGCATCCACGACAACATTCTCCGTGGGTTATTGTTCTATCTTTTCTATCTATTTCTCCTTAGTCTGTTCCATTTCTTCTGCCCTTGTTTGCATGTTGGTGTTGGTCAGTGTTCCACAGTAATCACTGATATCTTCTGGTTGTACCCACACTCCTGAGGCATGAAGCCCACTGCCATGATTTTAACTATCATCTAAACGACTGACGATGCCCAAATCTAGAGTGTCAACTCAGGTATCTCTCCTGATCTTCAGATGAATGTATCTGACAGCTAGTGGTCATCTCTGCTTGAATGTTCTAACATTCTAAATTCAGCTTATCTAGCACCAAACTCATATCACCATATGTACCTAAACCCTCTCTCTCTTCCAGCAATGTCCATCTTCTGTATCTTGTATTTCTAAACTTGGCTCTTTTCTGCCTTATCTGATCACCAATTCCTACTACCCAACCCCATTTATCATACTTTCCCATCTAAATTATCTGGCCTACTATTGCTACCTAAGAGTTAAATGATGTGATGGGTATTAAATGGATGGATGGATGGGTGGGTGGGTGGGTAAATGAGTAAATGTATACAAAACCATGCAGAAGAGCTTGTTGCAAATCTCTCTACTAAAAAGCTGTTCATTAATAGGGTAGGGAGCTGTCCTTACCACAAATGCCTGACTGGCAGAGGTGTGTGTTTCATGGCCACGAGGGCGCCACCCCAGTCTAGGAACCAGACATTGTACTCTTCATCAAAGATCTGGAACAACAACAACAACAACAGTCATAGCAACACCTTACATATGCATAGTGCTTGACAATTTTTACAAAGTCTTTCACACACATCGTTTTGTCTAGATTCTGAGCCTTCAACAACCCTCTTGGTAGTTGGGCAAGTATCATTATCCTCACTTGATAAATGAGGAAACGCACTTGCAGAGAATAAATAACTTTCCCCAGGCCCTCATATGGCATTTGCAGGACTCTTTCTCCGAGTACTGTGAACCACTGTACTACATACAGGAAGGTACATGGTCAACTAGATGACCCAGAGGGAAGTATGACTTCAAAGAAGCTTCCCTGTCTTTTCATTCTAGTAAGTTACTAGTCAGCCCTCTCTTCTTCCTCATCAATTCAGATATTTGTTAATTTATAAACGGTTTGGGTCTTATAATGTTGTTTATAAATTATTTAGGAACTTGTAAGATAACTTCCCTATATATTATGGAAGACGATGACTGAGTTCCCAGACTTAACCATCACCTCCTACATTCCCTTGCAAGTTGGATGAAGACCTAAGTATGGTACCTGTGGATTGTTACTCTAAATGCTCATTGGAACATAGTACTTCCAAGGACCTAAATTTATTCATTCTCTGATTCATTAATTTATCAGTTACCTGTCCATCCATCTACCTAGTCATTCACTCATTTAGTCATCCATCCACCCATCTACTTATGGGAATTTTCTAAGCACCTACTATGATGCAAGGTTCTGAGTAAAGATAACTTCAGAACTTAATCTCACATGTATCGATAATTCTGTTAGACATGACTTTCATATTTCCAACCTAAAACAGGAAAAACATTTCTCATTCAGAAAAGAACCAACCCCAAATTTTAGATCTTCTGGAGGAAAGTGGGTTTGGAGAATTCTTCTAACTCTTAACCACTGATGGTGGCTCTTGAGACCTGGATGGAGAGACTGGGATGGTGGGTTAAGTTATAAAGGCTAAAGGGGTAAGAAGGTATAGGCAGATTTAAAGGGGAGGAGGTAGGAGGAATGGGCCCTCATACACATATTCACCAGGAACACTATAGAGATGAGTAAACAGTTTCTTCGCCCTAATCTTCTCAATTGGTTTTTTTCCTTTTTACCTTTTAAGGAAAGAAAAATGTCCATACAAATGGTAAGTATTAACATACAAAGAAACTAAGAGTGATTCAATTATATTTCAGATATAAACATAGACTCTGGGCCTGCAATGCTAGCATTGTTTCTGAAGAGCTCAAAGAAGGACTCTGGGACAAGCCACATGATCTGGATGCTGGGTTGAAGCCTGTGAATGAGGACCTCAAGAAGTGCCTTGGCACTGGGGAGGAGAGGGAAGTTATTATCCTCTCGCTTTTCTCTTGATGCTATCATTCTGGCCACTGCTAACTCTTGCCAGTCCAGTGCTGGAGTGAAAAGTGGAATCTTTAGCTTTTTGGTAAAAGGGAAAGAAAACCTAAGAAGTGACAACACAAAGGAAGGGATGTTGTAGTAGCCACCTGACCAGGTTAATTATTCCTTGATTTGGAGGGACGATTATTTGTCCATTGGAAACTTCCCTTTCTCAGAGTTTCTGTACCAGACGAGTTTGCACTCTAGCCTCCAGCCTCGTTTGGTACTTGTAATAGGTTATCTTACATTTCCAACGCATGTTCTGATTTATGTGTCTGTTTCCCATCCACCTAAATATGGCCTTGTGGACAGGAACATTGACTTTTTCTTCATTGTATGCTTACAGTATTTAAAATAAGTTGTGTCTTGTAGGTGCTTGGTAAATTTTTTGATCGTGGCAGTGGTGAGAGTGGTGGTAATGGTGGTGATGGTGGTGATGATGTTGGTTATGGTGATGATAATCTTTACTAAGGGATCCAAATAGGAAATTTTCTAACTAGATTTCAAATGGTGACTTCACATTTATCATCAAGATATTCAGTGCTCTGCTTGCCTCTTCCCTGGGTAGAAACCTTCTCACCGTTAAGACCTGGTAAAATGTTACCTCCTCTTGTGAAGACCTTCCCAGTTTCCCTAGCAGAATCAGTTATTTCCTTTTCTGTGCATGTTACTGACGGCACTAAAATAATACTATCAGCCTGAAATATAGCTGGTTATTTATGAACCTGTTTCCTCTACTTAAGTTTGAGATCCTTCAGGGGATAAACTCCAAAGTATTCAACTGCCTCCCCAGATTTGTCCCTGATATCTAGCTGACATTCTATAATTCTGTGCTGTCCAAGATAGTATCCACATGCGACTATTTAAATTTAAATTAATTAAAAGAAAAAAGATTAAAAATCTAGTCACACTAGCCACATTTCAAGTGCTCAATAGCCACAAGGGATAGAGCACAACTCCATCATCACAGAAAGTTCTGATAGCACTGCTACAAATGTTTGGAAAATTGAATTAATTTCTCATGTAGCCATGTATCTATTAAGCTTTTTCATACTTAATTAAGGCTGGGTCTATACAATATTTAAACAAACACAGACTTTCATCCCTCTGCCAGTTTTAACATTCTAACCCCTTCATCTTGTGGATAAAGAAAGAAACCCAGAAAGGTGAAGAGACCTGCTTGCCAAGACTTCATGGCACATTAATGATAGAAACAGTTGTATTGGTTACATCCCCAACAACCCGCACAGTATTGAGCATATGGTGACCGTTCAGTACGTACTGATGAATGAATGGACAAACGGGAAATTCTAGTTCTTCCTATTCCCTGGCCAGTGCTCTTCCCATCTTACCCCATTGTCCCTCTAATCTGCCATCTGAATGGACCAAACTGAACAGCTGCTTCAATTTTCTTGCATAATATGTCTGAGAATCTACAGGAAGGGAAGATGTTGGCAGAACCTGCCCTAAATGCCTCTTCCCTGTCCCTGAATCACCCCAGTTACCTGTCTCCACGTGTTGCCCCCATCGGAAGAGATGAACACACCAATATCAGTATATGAGAGTTCCGGGCCAATGTTGCCTGTAATATAAGCAGATCATTTGAAAGTGTCAGGCAGTTTACAGATTAAATGTACTTAGAGCTGTGGGTGGGTGGGTAGCAGAGAGCAAAGCTTTGACAACTGGCATTTATAGTTGATTTGTGAAGTCTCTTTCTTGGTATCATATCAAAGACCCAGCAGGAAGAAAAGCCTGATATTGGGGGAAAAAGAAAGTAAATAGCATGACAGGAATATCACCCTGTGTCTCTAAATGTAAGACTCAAAAAATTGAATATTGATTAACTTGGATCTCTTGAACTATTCTCTCTGTACCAATAATCTCTAAAATTGCTTATGACAGTTGTCCCTGGAAGGTGATAAGAGTAGAAGCAGCAGCACAAGTAAGAGAAAGAGTAGTAGTAGAAGCATGGGGAAGCTAGGCCTAGGGCACCTTCTTCTTCATGTAGAATCTAGCCTGAGAAAAATTAGTGCGTATATGTGCATGTGTGTGTGCATGTTCTTCCAACCTAAGCTTGAGTGCTTGCCAGATGAGTGACTATTATGGGTTGAATTATGTCCCCCAAAAGACATGTGGAAGTCCTAACCCCAAATACTTCTTAATGTGACCTCATCTGCAAATAGAATCTTTGCAGATGTAATTAGTGAAGTTAACATGAGGTCATACTTGGGTAGAGTGGGCCCTAATCCAGTATGACTGGTGTCCTTATAAAAGAGGAGAAGAGACACAGAGGGAAGATGGTCATGTGAAGGTGGAGGCAGAGATTAGAGTTATGCTGCCACAAGCCAAGGATTGCTGGGCCTATCAGAAGCTGGAAGAGACAAGGAAGGCTCTTCCTCTACAGCCTTCAGAGAAAGGATGGCCCTACTGACAATCTGAATTCAGACTTCAAGCCTTCAGAAATGTGAGAGAATAAATTTCTGTTGTTTTGAATCACCTAGTTTGTGGCACTTATGTTATGGCAGCTCTAGGAAATGAATAGTGACCCAATGGTACATAGCATGTAACCTAAATTATAGAGAGCCCAGGTTAAGATGACCATACCAGCGGACCATGGCCATCAAGCATGGAAGAAGTCACCTGATTCATGCCTATACTGACCACACTTATCATCTTCATACTTTCACATCCACTTCTCTCTCCTTTTCCCTCCCCTTGACTTTCATCATCTTGTGGTTAAGTTTTTTTTTAAAAAGAAAGTGGTAAATATTTTCCAGCCTATGTATATTTCCCCAGCTTCCCCAAAGGAGACCGCCCCTCCCAGATCCTAGACCAATGCCCCAAACTTAGTAGTTAGTTTCTCAGTAAATAATTGTGGAATGAATAAATGAATGATCAAATGATTCAATCATGTCCCAATGCTAATGTACATTTAGGGAGGTATGGAGAACCAGGAAGGTACTCTAAACATGTAAGAGTTTATCATATTGGCTGATGTTTTTTCTTCAAATAATAGCAGGAAGGGAATGTTATCTTCCACACATCTGTAGCCTAAATAGAAGCACAACAAAAATGCAATGATGAAAATGTTAATTGAGCTCCTGACATTTAATGCTTCAAAATGAGAAATTAAAGCCAGGCTACAGCTTGTCAAGCTCCTATCAGCATCAGGGAGCACACAGCTAGCCAACTTGTTTTGACACTTGGGCTTCCAAAAATAACCCTGGGGCTCGGGGCTCAGGCAGTGGATGTGAGTGGAGTGGAGAGACGCTTGGTGAGCAGCTCTGCAGAGAGCTGCCTAGAATGCAGAATTCAACCCTCCAGAAGCAAGGTTTAGAAGACAGAGATGAAGAATAAAAACAAGAATGGGGCAGAGAATGTCAACTCTAGTTGTTTGGTGGTAGTCCCCTGGAGCTTTGTGCTAAGAAGGATTCAGAGGCCATTATTTGGATTCAACAGAACAGTGTGATGCTAAATTAGTAATGTCTACCAAGGGTGGTACAGAGAGTGGGAGGCAGAGGCATAGCCCCCCGGTGCTATCAATCTGCCATCTGTGGCGTGGCTTCTTACGATCTATCTCATCACTTTTTACCCTTCTCAGGAGCTGTTTACACCAATATCCTAAGCCTCTGTCTCAAAGCTCAACTACAGGGATTTTAGAGGCTCCATAACATCTGTCTTAGAAGAAGTACAGCCAGAGTGCTCACTGGAAGCAAGGATGGCGAGACTTCGTCTCATGTACTTTGGATACGTTATCCGGGGAGAAGAGTCCCTGGAAAAGGACATCATGCTTGGTAAGATAGAGGGTCAGTGAAAAATAGGAAGACCCTTGACGAGATGGATTGACACAGTGGCTGCAACAGTGGGCTCAAACATAGCAACAATTGTGAGGATGGTGCAGGATGGGGCAGTGTTATTTCTGTTGTACATAAGGTTACTATGAGTCAGAACCAACTCGACAGCACCTAGCAACAATAACAGCATGATGAGAAGAACCCAAGGCTCATGCTGAAGTCTGTTTTTTAGAAATATCTTCTGTCAATTTAAACGGACCGTGAAAGAAATGATGCTAATGACAAGGACAAGAAAGATGGTTACCAGGAGAAGGGACAGAAGAGACGTGTCCAGGATGATTCGCTCTCTGAACATGTTCACTCCTTAAGGGGCCATGTAGACAATCTCTAATAGGAAGGGCTTGATTAAAACGTCTGCATGTTTGTTAATTTAGGAAGACTTAGCGCTAGGCTAATTTCGAGGCAAATGCTGGTAATAACAGCTACCACTAAGGCCCGGAGCACTTGGCCGGGTTGTAAAGACACACTCCCTTCCATCTCTAATTTTTCAAACACCTTGCAGGGTAGAAAACAACCTTCTTTTACAGATGAGAACACTGAAACCCAGAGGTTAAAGAACTAAGCCAGATTCGCAAGTGTCAGAGCTTAGATTTGATGACAGCGTTACTGAATTTCGTTCAGTGTATACGTAGTATAAGCACATGGTTTATGGATTCTATTGAAAAAGGGAAGGAAATTATATTCTTCTGAGGCAAGAAGAGCAGTTTTAACTTCTGTAATATTAATGATAATCCTAGGTAACATGTATTGAGCGTTCAATATGTCCTAGGCACTGTGCTAAGCACTTTACATTCATTGTTTCATTTGATCCTGCCATTCTATTATGTTAGTACTATTATTCCCACTTTACCAATGAAAACAACAAAGTTCAGAGTGGTTAAATCACATAGAACAATGCCTGGCTACATAGTAAGCATTCATATCATCTTAACTTTTGTTATCAAACACTGTTTTCCAGTGTTGTCTCTATTCCAGCCCAGGGCCTACTACAGATCTGTAGGAGACACATGGAATGTAGCAGCTCCTGAGTTGGGAGGTCCGTCCTACACAGATTAGGGAGTGTGGGGACCACTCCCCAAGCCTTGAGAACTGCAATAGAGCCTGCCCTCATCTGTCTCTATCCTGGGCTCCCTGAGGCCGGTGGTGTTAAACATGGCAGATCCCATCCATACGGGTTGAGAGGAGTTGACCAGAAAGTGACGCTAGCAGTCAACCTCACTAGAGTGGTTGGTCACTGGTGGTATTTAGAAGTTCCCACAGTTGGTGATTTGAAGAAGGAACTCAGTCTAGGAGAACAGTAACTACACCAGTAACTCCAGAACTTCAGGCTGATGAGAATAAAAAAACAATGTACTAGTTCTGAAATCACTGTGAATGTATCTGCTTTCATTAGAAAAGAGGCTGCCTAACACCAGGGCTCTAACTTCTAAGATTAGAAGCCTGCCTTGCTTTATGCTATCAATGTATTCCTGAAAAGGTGTATGTAAATCAAATGCATGCAAATCAGAGCACACTTCCCCAGAGACTTTCATTTTCATTTCTGAGTTGCTTTATCTTCATTTCTGATTGATGCGCAGCGGACAGTGGTTTCAACAATACAACCTTCAGTTTTCTGCCCTTTACCCCAGGCTCACAGCCAAGTGGTTAATCACGTGTAAACAAACCTTTGCATGCACCAGAGACCTCCTGATTAAAAACAGCTTTGGGGTGAAATGCTTCTCAAAGAATCCTCTGTGTAAAGAGAAAGTGACCCCAACTTATATTTGGTGAGCTGGGAAGTTCATATATCATACTTTTGTAAAGTGAGAATTCCCTATTACAAACAATCTTTCCCATCAGTCAGCTTACACTGAGAAGAACTCTGGCCTCTTGCTAAACCCTGGGGACTGCTCTGTGACTATGTGGGATAGTGTACTAACCTAGAAGTTACAAATGTGTGCAGCCCTTTGCATCCTAGGTTCTTAGCCTGGGATCCAAGGATGGACTTTGGGGATCCAGGAACTCTACCTATTTTCTGAGGAGAGTGCCTGCCCATAACTTTCACCTGATGCCCAAGTGGATGCATGTTCCAAAAATAAGTAATGAACTTATTCCAGAAGCCCTCAGAGAGGAAGAAGTTCGGAGAATGGCTTCCTTACCTGTAGCCACCACAAGTCCTGGGGCTGTCTCCTTGCTAGAGATTCTCCCTGAGGAATACGGATTTTCAGAGATCTGCAAATGCAGGTGTAAGGAGCAGAAGGGCTAAAATGAAAAAGAGGAGAATAGCATCATTCCAGGAAACTCTGGACATGCACCCCTCCCCCACCAGAGATGGGCAGTTTGGTGCCCAGAGCAACAAGGTATTGAGTAATGAGCCACGCAGTTAATCGTGGGCAGGAGTCATCTCTACCCGAGATAGCCAGTACTTTCACATCAGGAGCTGCCCTGTGCACTATTAACAGGCCCATTCCTGTCCCCACTCCCATCCACAACTGTAGGCTTCCACTCTCTTCCTCACCTTCACCCCATCTACCAGGGTCCAGCTCACAGTCTGCCTTCTGAAGCCTGCCTGATCATTCCTTGTTCCAGGATGACACTGACCTTCTCCCATATCTCATCCTGACCATGTACTGTCAGGATTAGCTGGTGCCAAGTGTGTTTCCTGGAACACTAAAGGCCACTGGAAGGGGCAGAGAGGGGAAGCTAAGTGCAACAGTCTCTAGGCCCTTTACTCTTTTCTTCCACCATATAGGCTCTGCTTCTATATGTTTTATGCATTGGGTTCCTGTTTATAATTTTACATAAAATGTTTAAAACCACTGATCTAAAACTCAGGTAAGTTTGTCGTATTTATTTACTTATTTTTCCCCTTACTGTTTAGGGCTTTCTTAAAAAGGGCTCTGGACTCATAGAAATGTATCTTATTCAATTAATAAAAATAAGAAGACCATGTTGTGACTAGTTCCTCAAGGTAGGCAGCCATTTGTCTCAAAGCAAAAGAGGAAATATGGCACTGGACTGAAAACTGCAAAAGAGGAAAGGCCCTCTGTCCTATTGCCCAGTTTTTAACATATTGTCTGGAATAAACTTTTTAAAATAAGTGATAAAAGGCAATGTTTTGCTCAGAGGAAACAAGCATTTATGGGACCTTAAAATAATTTCACGTATAGCTTTCTACTAAGAGGACACTGGGTTTGTGAATTATATTGTTAATTAACTGTCTTCCTGCCCTACGCAGTATCTGGTGGCAAGAGAGGAAAGGATAGCATCTTATACATGTTTGTGTCCTCCATGATGTCTGCCACAATATTCCATGTAGCAGTAACCCTGAGAATGCTGACAGATTAACCAATTGTTCCACTGGACATAGCAGCCTGACCTTTCCTAGGCTTTCAAGGCAACCTCTGCTTACCTTGACCTCTGTCAAGCACTTATCAAACTGTCCATGTCATCATCAGTTAACAGGTTTGTTACCATTACTGAACCCTGTCTGGGATCCTTCAGCACAGGTTTGTTCTCATATACATTTCTTCATCTTAAACAGAGCTGAGTACTTATCAAATTCTCAGTAAAAGCCTAGCAAATTCAACTGGGAACTTTCCACCTAACTGGTGTGGCGGTATGTCCTGGGATCAATGCCCTGGGAATTGTAGGAAATCCTTGCCCAGCAGTGGTCAAAATGATAAGACCCCTTGATGGAAGAAAGTCCTTGCTGTGACATCCCTAGTAACCAGCCTGCCCTGTGAACTTCACCTGAGACTGGGCAACTGACCAGCAGGCAGTGCACTGGGCTCCCTCTCAGGTCCACATCTGGGGCTTGCAGGAGGCGCCAATCCCTGCCCTTGTTGTACGTGATGTATGTCTTCACCTGGTCATCCACTTTCTTGTTTGCCAGGAATATCCCTTTGATACCTGCTACCTAGGAAAAAGGGCGAGAGATGGAGAACCTTGTTGGCCCAAAAGCATGTAGTCTTGGAGAGGCCCTGGGAGAAGCCCCAGCATTTTTCCACCAGCATTTTCCAGGGTGTTGGAGTACCAAAAAAAAAAAAGACAAAGAGGAGGAACATGGTGAGAAATGCTATACGCCCTGTGGTCTCTGAGGAAAAAAAGAAATTTAAGAACTTCATCTCTGCATCTCACATACGCCCTGAAGTTCCACTCCCTCTAACCCATCTGCTTTTCCCCTTACACATGTCTTTGCACTTCTTTTCCAAAGGACTTTACCCTTAATTAATAATCAACATTCTCGCTGAGGTAGGGCTGGTTGATAATAACCGAGAGTTACTCCTTCCAGAAAATGTGTGCTTTCTCACAGGAGGGACTTTCAAGGCATCAAAGGTTTTCAAGGCATCAAAAGGATAATCCTTAATGATGGAAGTCAGGCATCCCAATTAGTAGTGAGGTAGATCTTTTTGGGCAGATAACCCAGCATGGAGACCTGGCATCGATCTCTGGCCACTCCATTAGTTCACTGTCTGACCTTGGATAATTCACAAATCATCCTTGGGTCTGGGCCAATGATCACTTTTAAATAGGCAAAATGAGTCCTGACTTTCCTTCTCTTCCTCAGTTGGCTGGTAAAGGATACATGAGATAATGCAGAGAACTCTTGCCAGGATTTGCAATTTATTGGGATTTGCATACCCTTGATATTTTGAAGGAAGAAGAGCATCATCACCAACTGAGTAGCTAGAGGATTAAGAGATTTATCATCCAGAAGGGTTCTTGGGTAAGTGCAGATTCTACTCAAACTTATTCTTTCTAAGTCGACATGCTGAGCAATGAGAACAGATGTTAGAATGATGATACCCCACATCAAAGAAATATCCCTTTAAATTCCCGTAGAAGTTCCAGCATGTTCCAAAGCTGAAAGGTGATTCAAATACTTTAAATATACATAGACCAAAGGCTGAATGGAAGGCTGTCTGTATAATACTCAGATATTTCAAAATTTTGATTGTGTATAACTCCCATTCTTTGAGGACCGTGGTTAACTGGGGTTTATTAACAGAGTTCTGAGACAACACAAGTAGAAGTGAGTTCCACAGGAGAGAATTTTTTTTTTAAATGACATTAAGTTGATGAAATAAGTTTTTTCTTTCTTTCCTTTTTTTTTTTTTTTTTTCTTTTTTCCAGTAACCTGACTGGCCCTGAAAGAGAATGCCAACCCAAATAAAAAGAAGCCAAAATATGGACAGAGCATGTCAGGGGGAGAATAGAATTAACTGGGAAGGACACCACCAAGAGAATTTGACAAATGGCCAACAATGACACTGATTAGATTACTAATTTAAACAAAGTGTAGGGTAAGGAGAGAAGCCAAGACTGGGGGAGGCAGTGGTGTTAGATGTACCCTGCTGCACTAACTGCTTAAAGATAGTTCCTGTTTCAGGAAGGCTGGCACCTCATAGGCTTGCCCGGGGGCTATGAGGCCCTCACATCACATCAGTCTTTAAAACTAACTGGAGAGACATTTCTCTTAAACCTGATTGCCAATCATTTCTCACAGAGAAGGAAAACTATTTTTCTATAGAACTTTCTGCCTGGGAGGCCTTTTGGCTTTTTTTTTTTTTTTTTGGCCACAGAGCTGGTGCCTTTTCTGCTTGACCAGCAGATAATGACTCCCCCAAGCCAGCTGGCCTCTCTCCAATATGTACTCAGGGCCTTGTTGTCTGCTTCCTGGAAGACAATAGACAAGTCAGACTGTGTACCATGACCCATTATTCCTGTGGCTCCTGCCATCCCCACCCCCTGCCTCCTAGTCGGATATATTAGTCCTTGAATTACCTGTCACTCAGCCATCTCTCGTGTTCCTCTGAATGAGCATGCTCAGAAGATGGAACTATCATTACCATGTTTCCCCACTGACAGATCCACCACTCATATGAGCAATTTTCTGTGTGTCCCACATATTCTGAGAGCAAAATCATTGGAATGGGGACTGAAAATGTGATGGAAGGAGAGATTTCCAGGAGTTACATCTCCAGCTCTGAAGGCATTTCTCCTGTAGTTACATCTAATGCCACACGAATCTCCCTCCTGTCTGAACAACCAGAGTACCTTCCGTTCGTGTTTGGATAGTTCAAGGCCCTTACATTATTACTGAATTGCTTCTTGACTTTATATCTTATATAAATGGACTATAAGCTTGGAGGGCAATTTGCTACACTTTTGTGTACCCTAGGCTGATAGCTTTCAAACCTTTTGACTGCAACCCAAGGAAGAAATGCCTTTATGTTGCAACCCAGTGAACCCATATCTATATCTGCAAAGAAGAGTACATGTCTATGTACAGATATATTTCTGAAACAACAGTATCATGAAACTCTATTTACCTTTACAACATGCAGTGTGAAAGAACTGGAGGATAAGACACACATTTTAACTCTTCTCCTTCCAAGAAGGTGCTTGGCATCTGATAAAATTTAAACATGCTTCCTCCCTCTGTTGTTTGAAATCAGAACGATGGCTGCTGCTGATGGTCCCAAGAGCCCAGGGAGAAGGGTACCAACATGTGATGGTGCCCATAAGAGAGGGTGGTATAAAGTGTCAGGCCTGCGTGTCCCATTTTCTCTCTGGGAATCAATTTGAGGTGCAGAGGGAATCTGACAGCTGGCCTCTTGGCAGAGCATGGAGTCCAGGTGGCATGGTCATCTGTTGCTCATCTCCCTGGGACCTCAGGACAAGGAAGTCAGGGTCCTGCTGAGAAAAGCAATTACCATGGTCTGCCTCGGGCTGTCCCTAGAATCAGACCTGTGGTGAGGGGCTCAGGAAGGTCAGTTTGGGACAAAAGTCCCTGTGGAGGCTATAAGCAGCTGCCCATCTGGCCCAAGATGGGTTGAAAAGGGTCATGATGAAGCAGAGTGCGCAGGGCAGGCACTAGGGACAGGGAAGACCAGGAAGAATTGTTAAGATGAGTAAAGAGACCAGAACACTAAAGATGGCTCAGAAAGCTTCCTTTTATCCATCTGTTACGGACTGAAATGTGTCCCCCCAAAATACGTGTTGTAAATCCTAACCTCTATGTCTGTGGTTATAATCCCATTTGGGAAAGGGTTGTCTTTGTTACGTTAATGAGGCAGGATTAGTATAGGGTATGTCTTGAGTCAATCTCTTTTGAGATATAAAAGAGATTAAATACACAAACTAGCAAGCAGAGATGGGGGAAGATTGATGCCAAGACACATGGAGATCTCCAAGGAACCGGGAAACAAGCTGAAATGAAAAGATCTTTTCCCAGAGCTGATAGAGAGAGAAAGCCTTCCCCTAGAGCCAGTGTCCTGAACTCAGACTTCTAGCCTTCTATACTGTGAGAAGTAGTCCTACTGGTACAGTGGTTAAGAGCTCGGCTGCTAACTGAAAGGCTGGCAGTTCACATTCACCAGCTGTTCTTTGGAAACCCTCTGGGATAGTTCTACTCTGTCCTATAGGGTCGCTATGAGTTGGAACTGGCTCGACGGCAATGGGTTTGGTTTTTTAAAATACTGTGAGAAAATAAATTTCTGTTTCTTAAAGCTATCCACTTGTGGTATTTCTGTTATAGCAGCACTAGATAACTAAGACACTATCCAAGTATAGTGAAGTCAAAATAATTAGCCCTCAGGAAAATGCAAGTTAAAATCACAATGAGATACCATTAGGCACCTATCAGAATGGTTAAACATGCATGCATAACACACACACACACAACTGACAATACCAAGTGTTGATGAGGATGTGAAGCAACTGGACCTCTCATACATTGCTGGTGGGGATGCAAAATGGTACAACCACTTTGGAAACAGTTTCATAGTTTTTTTATAAGTTAGGAAACCTTGGTGGCATAGTGGTTAACACTTATAGCTGCTAACCAAAAGGTCGGCATTTCCAATCCAATAGGCGCTCTTTGGAAACCATATGGGGCAGTTCTTCTCTGTCCTATAGGGTCACTACGAGTTGGAATTGACTCAACTCAGCAACAGGTATTTATAAGTTAAACATACACTTACATTCGAACCAGCAAGCCTACCTCTAAGTATTTACCCATGAGAAACAAAACATATGTTCATGTTAATGCTTACAGCAGATTTATTCATGACACAAAACTAGAAACAACCTAGACAGTGAATGATTAAACAACTGTGGTACATCCACACAACTGAACACTACTCCATAGATTCTGAGTCGATTTTGACTCACAGCAACCCTATAGGACAGAATAGAACTGCCCTATCGGATTTCGAAGGCTATAATCTTTATGAAAGCAGACCGCCACGTCTTTCTACCACAGAGTGGCTAGTGGGTTCAAACTACTGACCTTTTTGCTAGCAGCTGAATGCTTAACCACTGTGCCATCAGGGCTCCTTAATGGAACACGAGACTTAGAAATATAAAGGAACAAATTACCAATAACACGGATAAATCTCAAATGTATTATGCTAAGTGAAAGATGTCAGACTCAAAAGACTAGCTACAGCGTGATTCCATTCATGCGACGCGCTAGAAAAGGCAAAACTGGGGAAAGAGAATTCAGATCAGTGATTGTGAGCGGGGGGAAGGAGAGCTGACTGAAAATGAGCAGTAGGAGCGATATTTTGGGATGATAGAATTGTATGTCTTGACTGTGGTGGTAGTTACACCACTGTTTGCACACATCAAAATTCACAGAACTGTATGCTAAAAAAGGTAAGTTTTAATGTAAAAAAGGTCTAGGAATAAAAAAAAGGTCTAGAAATTAAAAAATATTATTAAAAAAATGAATCTGAAAAAAAGTATAGTGGGAGGAGCATAAGGTTTTTTCAGTCAGACAGACGTGGTTTGGAATGTGGCTCTGCCATTTACTAGCTGTGTGACCTGAGCCAAGTTATTAAATTCGCTGCATCTCTGTAATCTCATTGGCACGATGGGAAACAACACCTACCTCACAGAGATATTGTGATG